AGCCTTTTGTTTGGACGGACGCTTGTGAGCAGAGTTTTCAGGAGTTAAAGAGACGGTTGACTACTTCTCCGGTTTTGGTGTTACCTGACACTGGTGAGCATTTTGATGTGTTCTGTGATGCTTCTCACCAGGGGTTAGGTTGTGTGTTGATGCAGGGAAGGAGAGTAGTGGCATACGCTTCAAGGCAACTTAAGACCCATGAAAGGAATTATCCTACTCATGATTTGGAGCTTGCAGCTGTGGTTTTTGCCTTGAAGTCATGGAGACACTATCTGTACGGTGCGAGATTTAGTATATTCAGTGATCACAAGAGTTTAAAGTACCTGTTTGATCAGAAAGAGTTGAATATGAGGCAGAGGAGGTGGATGGAATTTCTAAAGGACTTCGATTTCCAGTTGATGTATCATCCTGGGAAGGCGAATGTGGTAGCAGATGCATTGAGTAGGAAATCCATTCACATGTCGGTTATGATGATTAGGGAGTTGAAGCTGATTGAGCAGTTTAGAGATTTGAGACTAGAGGTGGAGGTTGTTCAGGATCACATTAGTTGTAGTATGATCACCATAACTAATGAGTTCTTGAAGTAGGTGGGAACTAAGCAGTTACAAGACCCAGAGTTGTTGAGGATTTTGGGATTGCTTGGTACTGAGAGGGCAGCTGGTTTTGAGCTTGGTACTGATGGGATTCTGAGATTCAGAGGTCGGATTTGTTTACCTCATGATTCAGAGTTGAAGAGAGCTGTTCTGGAGGAGGGACACATGAGTCGTCTTAGCATACATCCGGGTATGACTAAGATGTATCAGGACATCAAGAAAAGTTTTTGGTGGCCTGGTATGAAAAGGGAGATAGCAGAGTTTGTGGCAGCTTGTCTGACTTGTCAGAAAGCGAAGATTGAGCATCAGAGGCCCGGAGGGGTTTTGCAGTTTGATGGAGATTCTTGAGTGGAAGTGGGATAGTGTCACTATAGACTTTGTGGTTGGGTTACCTAGGACAGCTAGGAACAGTGACTTTATCTGGGTGATTGTTTATAGGTTGACAAAGTGTACACACTTTTTTCCTGTCAACAAGAGGTGGTCCTTGGAGAGGCTTGCACAGTTGTATATCAGAGAGATAGAACGGTTGCATGGAGTACCTTCCAGTATTATTTCTGACAGAGATCCAAGATTTACTTCTAGGTTTTGACAGACTCTACATCAAGCGTTGGGGACAAAGTTGATGTTAAGTTCTGCTTATCATCCACAGACAGATGGTCAGTCGAAGAGGACAATTCAGTCACTGGAGGATCTCCTGAGAGCTTGTGTGTTGGATCATATGGGTAGTTGGGAGGAGGTGTTACCATTAGTAGAGTTTACCTACAATAATAGTTATCATGCGAGTATTGGCATGGCGCCTTTTGAGGCTTTGTATGGCAGGAGGTGTAGGACTCCATTATGTTGGTATCAGGAGGGTGAGTCAGTGGTGGTTGGTCCAAAATTAGTTCTTCAGACTACTAAGATGGTGAGACAGATTCAGGAGAGGTTGAGGGCTTCCTAGAGTCGACTATTTCCGACCCGGACAATTTTAGGGGTCTACAACTAGGAAAAACGTTATATTGATTATCTCATTGTGCCAATCTATCAAACACAATTTTGTATTGTATGACAACTTGAAGCATTCAAAATGTAGAAATCCACCTAATTAATTTTGCAATTAAGAACCAACTTTTTTTCTAAATGGAATGTTCACTTGACCATATGTCTCTATAAATTTCTTTTCTCTTTTAGGTGTTACTGTCCAAAAGTGAACACTTTCTCTAATCTTTTCAATAGCATAAGATATTATAGACAAACCATCTTTGACAATAAGATTCAATATATGAGCACAACAACTCATGTGAAATAGTTGACCACCCAAAATAAGAGACTTAGGTAATATCTTATATTGATTATCTCGTTGTGCCAATCTATCAAACACAATTTTGTATTGTATGGCAACTTGAAGCATTAAAATTTAGAATTCCACCAAGTTTTGCAATCAAGAACCAACTTTTTACTAAATGGAATGTTCACTTGACCATATGTCTCTATAAATTTCTCTTCTCTTTTAGGTGTTGCTATCCAAAAGTGAATACTTTCTTTAATCTTTTCAATAGTATCAGATATTATAGAGAAAGCATCTTTAACAATAATATATGAGCACAACAACGCATGTGGAATAGTTGACCACCCAAAATTAGAGACTTAGGTAATATCTTATTTAGAATGAGTTCAATCATAACATCATTTGTGGTGCATTTATCAACAGTCAAAGTGGATACATTTCTATGTAGGTTCCAATCCATCAAACATTAAACCAAGACATCAATAAGAACTTTGCTAGTATGACGAGCAGGCACATAAATGAACCTAACATTAAAATACAAGTTTCAATAATCTAATCACAAACAACTATAAAATAAAGAATAAAAATGTAGTTTATCTAGCTTATGGGCATTACCTCACAAGTTAACTTTGTAAGGTCCATGAATCATCAATAAAATGAGTTGTGATAATCATGTGTCCTTTGTTTTGATTACTAACAGTTCACATGTAAGTGGTAATTGCAATCTGACTTTAATTCTTTGACAATAACTTCATTGTAATCTTTCTTGCTTCTCTATAGTCCTTCATCATTTCATTCTTAAGAGTGTTTCGAGAAACCCCTTTGTACAAAGGTTGCAAAGCAGCACAAAACTCTATGAACCCTATGTGATAAACCATTGTCAATGGATACTCATGAAGAACTATCATCTTAATAAGTGCGTGCTTTACTATTTGTTGATTAAAACAATAGTTTCCAACAACTGTTATTTCACCCCCTATTTTCTCAATTTTGAGGAATGCTTGCTTGATGTCTCAAGATGTTCTTAGTTTGCAAATCTTGAAGTGGCTCATCAAATGGGATGTCCCTTGATTTGCCTCCCCTGACAATTTATTGTCACAATAATTGCAAATGAATTTTCACTTTTCATCTATTTTTTGTCTCTTAAAACGATTCCAGACAGTTGAAGTTTGTTTTCTTCTAGTGGTATTACCCTTAGTTGGAATTGAGTTTCCAATTTCAACTTGAATTGAATCATCACCTAAATTCATGAGCACATTATTTAATTCACCTCCATTTGATTCATCCACATTAGACACATTTTTAGCTACTTGTTGAGTGTCCATCAGAGTGGATGCTTGTTCGTTAGATATTCTATAAATAATAAGAAATAAAATTAGTTAGTGCATAAAACCACCACTTGCAATTATATATATATATATATATATATATATATATATATTGGCCCTATCCTAATTTCCTAAACAACACATGGAAGAATAGAAGCAAACAAAATATATATGAATTTAATGTATAAAAAAGGGCAAGAACAAACCAAAATTGTAGAAAGCAGTGGATGCAACAATCAAAGAGAAAGAAGCAGCAGGGTTGACTTTAGAGAAAGACTTGAAAACTGAAAAAGAAGGAGTGACTTACTTGCGAGTGTTTCCCAATAAAAACAAGTTCAAGAGAAAGCACGTTTTTCATTCAAAAAGCAATAAACTGATTAAATAGAATTTCAAAAATGTAGATTAGTGAACTACATACCTATTATCGTCGATGTAGAGCAAATTAGAGAGCCAGGATTCAAATTAAGAGGGTTTATCCCCTTTGTGTTGTGTGTGAAAATGTGCGCTACTGCGACTATGGAAAGAAAATAAAAGAAAGTATAATTTTAGGGTTATGTGATTTTATATATAAGGATATTTAAGAAATTTTATTAAACTGATATCCTCGAGTATGAATACTATCATACTTACCCCTGCCTTATTTATAAATGGGTAGAAAAATACTCGTATCTCTTACTCGCGGGTATCCATTTAGGCTACTCATTTATTATCCGTGAAGGATTTTATCCACGGATACTCGTGGTTACGAATATTTTTGTCATCCCTACTTCATATGATAGGCCTCTTTTGATTCAAGCCCAACATCTGATCTAATTCTTGTTCATCGCCATAGTTAGGTCCCAAGTTCCTATCATGTTCATGGTGTATTGTGTGATTGGTTTTTTTGAATGAGAAAATAGGGTGGAATGGTTGTGAAATGTAGTTGTTAGAAATTTATGGAAATGACTTTTGGAAGATTTTCATTATGGATTATTTGCAAGGTTTAATGTAGGTCCCTCTCAACATGTTCATTTTCTAGCAAGAATCGCAAAATTCTAGTGTCATTGTTATTTAGAAATTAGAACCCTCTTGGTTTATTAATTTATTGTGACATATTTTTGCCATATTTTTAGGTTTCAAATTGTCTCTGCATTGATTGATGATATCAACTTGCTTACGTCTTAGTTTATTTAAAATTTTTAGGAATAGCTTGTTATCAAACTCTAATTTTTTTCATTGATTTGATGTGTTTAATGTTTTGCTTAATTTTGTATTTTAACCAAGTCACATGGGTTAATCACTCTTTGTGTGTGTTAGTGGCATTTCATTTATAAAAAATAGAAGACTAAAAGAATTTGTTGGTGCTAATCTTAATTTTGGAGTTTCTTGTGAGTTGTGTGGCCAATTTATGAAGAGAAAGGTTAGGAACACATTCTCTAACACACTCTTTTGAATACACTCTTTCTAATTTGTTGAAATTTATTGAAAAACACAAAAATTGGTTGATTTTCTGATTTGATAATTTTTAATAAATTTTAACCGATAAAAAGATGTATTAAAAGAAGTGTGTTAGAAAGTGTTTCTGCCCTCCTCATCTATGAATTAGTTGATCTTGTGTATTTACATGTTTGAATTTTGATGTTATAGCTTTTGGATGGTTTTGGTTCTCGATGATGGGAATGTTTAACCTTGATATTCTCAGTTCTCATGAGCAAAATGATGTTTTTTCAAAAATTGTACATAATTCCGGTAGGTTTGTTTAGTTTCACTACATATATAGAAGGAAATAAACATTTTATTTATTTATTTATTTATATGTGGCAGGAATATAGTAACCAAATTGAAAACTTAGTAGATGTCTCCTTCAATGAAATCAAAATTGAAGTCCAAGGCTAGTAAGGATCAACAGAAAGCCACTCCAACGATTTGTGGCACTACTAATCATGGAAATGGCATTCCT